TGCTATATATTTATTGTCTTTCTATAGAAAATTAGTCACTAAAACTTGAGATATCTAATGTCATGTTTCCCACACATTCGCTGTTTTGAAAGTCGATACCCCCTGCGTGTGTAACTTTGTCATGAATACCTGATTGATGTCACCACACACATTCATCCCAGCCTCCAGCCAGGGGACAAAGGTCCTTTCTAGTCCTGAACCTGCTCTCATGTGTGAAGGGAAGTGTGGCTAATGAGTCAGTGCTTTAGCGTCTCAGCTAGCCCTGCCTTTATTTACTAAATGCCAGAGAACCTACACAGACATCTTAACTGTAGATGGATAACTCTGAAACTGAACTATCCCAACACTGACCCCAACACTGACCCCTCCTGTGTTAGCATTTCTGTCCTTATCTTGACTACTTATACTATAGGAGACACATGACAACAGTTACATAACTAAGGGATAATGCATGGCTTTGAGATTTCATAATAAGGAGTTCAAGAACAACATGTAAGGCAGACCCATCCAATTAGCTCAGTGTCCAATAAATTTTATCTACAGGTTTGACATTAAAACATTGAATCTGCACGCAGAGTCTAGATTTTCACCATGTTTCTCTATATGCAGAAATACACGTGTGCACAAACCAAGAAATGTCAGAGTGAGAGTGCTGCCAACAGCTAGCGCCTCCTGAGCTAGTAGCAGGGGTTCTGTGCCTCGCTCAAGGGGCCCCTCGGCAGTGCTCAGGCACCTCTCCAAGTCCCTCTAAACTGAGCTACTGCCGCCAAAAAAGTGCTGCTAACAATCTATTATACCAAACATTTCATCTTGAGCCACAAAACTGCTTAAGGCGGTGTCACTGTCACGACAGCCAATCAGAGTTTAGATTCCCTGACTGCCTGAAATGCCAGAAATAATCAAGTCAACCTCCGTTCAACAGACCTGAAAAACCTTTTGTATCATGACGTTATTTCTGCAAACATAAGGCCTGTTAATGCCAAACAAAATCACAAGGGTTTGTACTGCTGAATGTATAACTGAAGGAAGCCAACAGTGAGGCAAGCCACCTTTGTATCTTTTAATCTACTGTTGAACTGAGACTCACAAGAAACAGGCTTTACTGCTGGGGGATGTGATGGACCAAGAAACGACAGAATATGAAACTCAAATGCCACACAGCACAGTTCTTAGCTGGAAGTCTTTCCACGCTATCCACTGGCTACACCAGAATTACTGAATTTGCCTCCGTTCCCAGAGGAACAGTATCAGAAGATAATAAATGATTCCCGATGGGTTCCAAGATTGAGGAAAACTTAAAGGGCCTTACCCAGCTCACTAGGCTGGTGACTAGAGGTTAGTACGCCGACCCATGTACAGACTAGAGGCTATAACCCTCAAAGGCGGCCTGGGTTTAAATCCTGTGGTATTGAAACAGATATCGATATCTCATAAATGTTAATTAAAGATAAACTGTTTTCAGCTAAACTTTAAAGGAATAAATACACACCATGCAACCAGAGTATGGTATAAAAACTGCCATTTAAGATAAAGAGCTGATAATAAAATCTGAATACTTCTGTTATATGAAGCGTTACATGAAGAGAAGTTTATTGAGCCCATACCCTTTTTTACGAGGCACAAACCCAACCCTGAGAACATTCATATCACCCAGTCTCAGACCATTCAACGTGAGTTTTTAACCACGGTACTTTACATGGACAATGACCTTCCAATACCGAGTTCAAGAGCTTTGGAACAGCTTTGTTGTACACTGTTGGCTGAATTCTGCACGTGTTTGGCAGCATGAAAAATTCCACTGCCAGTCGAGTATTTTTTATGCCAATCTCACTTGGGAAATCAAACCTTATTTTCTCTCACTCAAAGCTCGTGTTTTTTCTTCCATAAACCCTCGTTATGGAGGTCAAATGTTGGGTGATGTTTTTCCATGTTTGTCTGCAGAGCTGGATTTGCACAGGTCTGCGTTTGGGCAAAACTGGCACATGACATCGAAAGATTTTCAAAACAGTCCCGTACAATCGCTCTCAGGGGTTTTTCGTCTTAAAACATACTGATTACTGTTATTGTAGGTTGGCTGCATGTCTGACGACCGGATAAAGCTCATTGTATAGATAATTATGAGCTCTTGGACACAATTCAACTTCAGTGTTTGTGTTTTCTTCATCCAGAATAGAAATGTATGAAAACAATTCTGTTTTCTGCTGATCTCTGAAGTTATAAACAAATCAAAAGGCAAGGACACGAGTATGTTCACGATCATGAGAACGGCCAAGGGAGTTTTACCCCAGAAATAGATATTCACTATTAGATTGGCTGGTATTAGGTTTCAAGCGGTCAAAAAGCTCCAGCATGAAGATGTATATTGTTCAAGGGGACACATTTCAGAAAGCTAAGGACCCGAGGGCCCGACAAGCAAGTATAGTGCACGAAAGCCGTTTTTATCCATTGACAACACAAGCTTGTGATTGCTGTGACTCGAACACAGGACCAAAGGTGCTCTGTCAAAAGGGAGAGCTTTGCTATTTTTAACACTTTACTGTGGCATCAATGACAATCATTCACAAGTCCCTCCTGTTTATAAATACATTTATTTTTTAATTGTAAAAGTAACTGCTCTGCGGGCCAGTCTGATGTCATCCACGGGTTGGAGCTGGCCGCCAGATCAACTTTATTAAAAATTTAGGCCGACGAGTTTCGGCTTGTCGCCTTCTTGATGACCTCGATGAAGGCCACAAGCCGAAACTCGTAGGTCTAATTTGTTAATAAAGTTGATCTTCATACTACAAGAGTTGCTGGAGCTTTTTGACCTCTTCTAGCCTTTCACTCGTCATGCACCTTGGTAGATGGTGAAGCTGTGTGGAAAATCCCACTCTGCTTCTTAGGGTTTGGGATTAGGTTTCAAACACAATATTACATCAATCAAATCCTACTGTACCGAATATTTTCGAGCAGAGATTGTTTTCACAGGGATTTTCCAAAGTTCTCCTCTTTTCAATCTGGCTAAAAAAAAAAAATCTGACACACCAACATAAAATAGTTATTTATAATTAATAAATCTTCCTCTTTGCCTGGATGTAATCACCTCGGGAAAAACTTAAATGTAAGCGAGAGGGGACCTTAAGTACAGTTCTAGTATTTACCAACGCAAACCAACATTGAGCCTGAAGCTAATATAACAATGGAGACTTATCAAGTAGTAATCTTCCAGAGTACCAGCCCATCAATGGGATCGGTGTTCATCCATCCAATGATTACTGATTCAATATCATCAATGCATCGATCCATATCTTCATGACTAGCATCATGCCTTTACTCGTGAATTTCTTCTGCAGGCTCCTTCATTGAATTAATGTAAAATGTATTCTGATATGTGATGTGATATTTATAATTAAAGCATTTTGAACAGAATAACATTTCATGTAATATTGTGATGAAATTGTCGATTACATAATTACATTTGAGTACCCTAACCCTGGCTTTGACTAGAGACTGTTCTTGTGCAGAATGCAGGGAAATTAACAAACAATAACCATGTTATGCACATTTCAGCGGAACTTTTCTGCTCGCAACCCCCAAAATAAAGCTGCTTGAGACTGGGGAGCCCCACTGTCTCTGGAGGGGGTTAAAGCATTTTACTTTGCGCACAGCTGGGCACATATACCAGTTGGACTATTTATACACATTAGAACACAAAGAACACAATAGACTAAAAGCCTTAGAATCAGAAAACAATTCATCTCCGTATAAAGACTGTACATCGGAGTGAGCATACCATGTTTAATAAAGCACAAAGGTGAAGTGTGTTTGTTTCTGTGTGTGTGTTGTATTTGTAAAGAGCAACAGACAGCTACACTGATGCAGCCATTTGCAAACTTGCATTTAAATGATTTTTTTTACACTCCTGGCAACTTTCATTTCAGCATAAATCTCACTTCATGAAAATTGTTTTATTTTAAATTGTACTACTTCTGTAAATGTTTACAGGAAGGTGCAATACGCAGAACCTCTGCAATAGTAGGCTTACCTGCTCAACATTAATAAAATACTCATCCGGAAATAATGCCATAATGTGTGCATGTGTAAATATGGTTGTGTGGACAAGTATGCACTGAATTACATTTTTCGTTCTGTACTCAGTAATCCTTGTAAATAGAAATCAGGTGGAGACGAGGGAAATGTTCTCCAAGGGGGCAACAAAGTGTAATTTATATATATTCACAATAATGGGTCATCCCTCCTCCTCATAATGGCTCGCTGTCTGAACAACTGCCTTTAGAGTCTAAAGATAATTAAACTTACATAAAAATGACTTCTTAGGAAGAAAATGTGTTTATCTGTACATTGTTTTACAACACATCTTGACATAAACTGATATACAACATATTAACACACATTAGTGCTTCTGTACATCAAAACAATATTAATTTAAAAGGGTATAGTAAGCTTGTTGTGACAATACAAATAGAAGGAAGGATCATTACACCTCGTTTTTAATCGAAAGAATAAATATTAGTTTAAAAGCATTTGTGTATACAGTTAATTTGAGAGTAAATGTTTCACTGAATATATCTAAAGTAAATGTATGACGCACACAACTGGAGACATAAACAGGAAATAAACTACAGCTGGTTTAAAGAGAGCAGAGTGACGGTCCTCTGCTGACCTCTAGCGGCGCTTTGACGCAACAGCACACATTGACATCCATTAAAACGTGGTATAAAACAGACAAAACAGATTCGAAAGTACCTGATAATCTGTTAGACACAACAAGCTAAGTGGTATTTACTTTTTTCTAAGTTAAAACCTTCATTTGAGGAAATTAAATAACGATGCTGTGTGCTAGCTGTGTCAGGCTAAAACATGCTAGCTCCCGTTAGCTCGTATTTATGTTTGAGATTTGAAAGTCTGGATTAACGGAGGGCGCTGACGGGTTGAAAGGTGTGTTTTCAGATAGTTTACGGTGTTTTTTGTTGGAGTATGAACGTTACAGATGGACTAACCTTCTCAGACTCCTTCTGTTATTCCCGAGGGACGAAGACTCTTCTTCATCAGCGGAACTCTTCCTCTTTAAGTCTCTGCTGCTCGCTTGTTTTCTCGGTCTATCTACAGTTTCCTCTACAAATGGAGCCTGGACTTCAGCTGTTTCACCCATTTAAAATGTAGGGGGAGTTGTTTTTTTACTCAATATATGAATGGGTTGAAGAAAAAAAAACAATAACAAATGCTACTACAGCAGCATGGACTCGTCACAAATTTTGAATATGGCGGAAATGGAAAACATCGACCAATGAGAGGGGAGAACAGCGGAAGTAGTTGCTAAGTGGGCGGGACCAGAGCAGATAAACATACAACACATTAACATGTAGTGAGAAATGACTACTTTTGGGGTAACAGAATATCTTAATATTATTACTATACTATTTTTTTGACCACACTTTTACTAATTGGCTTCATGAATTTGAAAATTCACGATTTTTAAAATCTTTATACGTGTATATGTGGGGGGTTCGATCCCCTGCTTCTGCAGCCACATGTCCGATGCGTCCTTGGGCAAGACACTTAACCCCAAGTTGCTCCCGTGCTTCATTGTCAGCGTATGAATGGGATTAGTTACATCAGATAGTCACTTTACACAGCAACCTCTACCATCAGTGTGTGATAGGTGTGACCTGAGTGGTGTAAAAGCACTTTGAGTCGTCAGAAGACAAGAAATATACAAGCTCAAGTCCACTTCCAATTTTTGCAACAACTGTTTTGCTATAACAATGAAAATATTTGTAAACGTCCCTAAAAAAAGTTAAGAGGACACCCTTTAAACCTTTATACTTTGTGTGACGCAAAATTCAATGAATAGGCGATGCATTTATTACACGCCAAAAGTGAAGCATTTTATTCCAAGAAGTTCTGAATTCTACAACTTATAAGTCTAAATCTTACAATTGGCTTTAAATTTAAAGAAAAAAACAGTTAATCATTTACCAAAAAGAAAAAGAAGACAGACACAAATAGAAAGGTGGGTTTGTGTGCCTTAAGATCGCTCTTACATAAATGATTTATTGATGCTATACTGGGCTGGATAGAAGTCATCAACGGATGAATCATCAAACAGTCATTAAATCCCACTATAGGAGAAATTTGCATCTTGTAGGTTTAAATCAATTATCTGATAAACAAACTTGAATCAGAATCAGAAATTCGGTTGTCACTGTTGCTAATGAATACAAACAACAGTAAATAGACTTGAGCTTGTATAGCGCTTTTCTAGTCTTCCAACTACTCAAAGCACTTTTACACCACATGTCACACCCACCCATTCACACCCTTTCACACACTGATGGTAGTGATCACTATGTATCCATCAGAAGTAACTAATCCCAGTCATACACCACCACTGAAGCATGTCTTAAGTGTCTTGCCCAAGGACACATCAGACATGTTGCTCAGCTGGGGATCAAACCCTCAAACTTCTGGTTGAGAGGCAACGACTCTACCAACTGAGCCACAGCCACCTAGGTAAGGGTAATAATTTAAGATCTAAAACTAAAATAGAATAGAGATAATAAAATAAGCAATAAGTACCAAGTAGGACTATCATAAGATATGTACAAAGATTAAAAAAACAATATTTACAATTATGAATGTACACAATGAGCTGTGTTAAACAGATATTGCACAGTGTAATTGATAAGGCTTAATATGAACAAAAAAAATTATTAACAATAAAAGTACGAGTCTCAATAAAAGATAAACAAGGAAAAGAGTGTACATTAAAGTTGCTGCTTCGATATCTCTGAAAGGGACGGACAATAATGAAATGCATCCCTAGGTATGTGCATTCATATATTTTTCATTCATGTGGTTATACTTAACATTCTGCATAGTTCAGATTCACTATCACATTTTTTTTTATGCTGGCCAAAATGTGCACCTGACTGCAACATAAAGCAGTAGATCCTGCCTGTGCTGTAAAGTAACGACACAAATGATGTTTTCAACTGACACAATCTATAAGATCAATCATCCTCTTCCTGTTTATGAGTAAGACATCACTGTTTGATGTTCAGCACTTGAAATTGCCTTTTGTGTTTATATTAATGTGTCTTATTAACCGTCGTTGCTGTTGTTGAGTTTTAAAGGATGTGTTATAGTTCAAGCTGTCACTGCATATTTCCCTTCAGTATCAGCGTCCTTGGCTGTTATGTAACCGCTTATATCGCCCCATAGTAACAGTGACATCGCCCTCTTTAAGATTAACACCACGGGCCACAGCTGATCAACAACAGACAACACATGAACTGATAACTTGAGTTTTCTTCTTCACTGCATCTTCTTCCCTCGGGTGTTCAATCCAAAGAAAGGTCTTCTGTTATCATGATGCAACCTCAAAATAACACGCGTATTTCTTCTCTGCTGGTCAGGATCACCATAATGTTTTTCTGTGTAAAACATTTCATGCACTGCAGGAGGGAAAATTCACTTAAACATTAACATTTGGTATATATGCATATTTCTCGTCATTGTATTCATTTTAAAAGGTTTTATCTTTCGCCTATAGAAACATGTTAAAGGGCTCTCCAGTGACCTCTATCAGCCTCTAGTGGTCGTCAGTGGGAACTGCAGCAACATTAAGTGGTTACCAGAAGAGTAAATTATTCAATTAATATTCTTTTGCAAAAGGTTAAGTTTGATTGCAATCAATTTCTATTAAATGTGTCTCATTAACAGTGGTTGTAAACAAGGTACTACTGACATGATTTCTTGCATGCAAGCAGAATGAAATGGTGAGATTGTATCTGTGCAAGAAAAGGAGCGATGAGGAATTCCCAAACATCAACAGTGCATGTAAAGTTTTAACGAGAGCCGAGGAATCTCCTCGCTGTGAGGCAACAACGCTAACCACTGCACCACTGTGCAGCCCTGAGTCATTGTTGAATAATAATTAAAAACAGGCTGTTGCAGATTTGGGAAGCCCAGGATATTTTTTTCTAGTTGCTTACCTACCTTAGATCAGAGATGACATACAGATGAGAATCCTAAAAACCCATTAAGGAAGATTAGGGTTTTTATCAATAAATTGTAAAAGTTTAACAAAGACATCAATGGGCGCCCTCCAAGCTCTTGATGGATCTCTTTCTGCAGGAGTCAAGAGCAAATCTGTTGCTCCCATCTGCTGAGGACTCCCGAATGCATTGATCCACAGTTTTATAACCGATTTCAAATGGTGCTAGAAGGCAGCAGCTGGCTCTAAGCACCAGGAGAAATCAGTTATCTGTTGGTGGAGAAAGAGGACGAGGAGGAGGAGAACGTATACCAGCTGCTCACTCACTGCCGGAGCTGTCCTCCTGTCCCCAAGAACACTGATTTCAAATGGTGCTAGACAACAGGAACACACATCTAAACCACCACGTGAAACCAGCTTCTGGGGGAAGATGGGTTTGGTGCTGGATCACAGCTGCAGCATGAGGTGAACCTGTTATTCTGAACTTATATTACTGAAATATTCTTTTTATTTATTAAAGGCAGAGTCTGCAGCTTTTGTAATGCTACTCAATCTTCACTTCTGGGCCTCTGTACTTGTGTGGTGTTGACTGTGTCTGCAGAGACCCCGCCCTCTGCCTTGATCTTGATGTTGTGGTTGACTCGGGATGTTTTTGGCGGGGAGCTGGTGTGTTTCCTCAAGCCAATGACAGCACACAGGCGAGTTTAGGAGTGGATACAACAATCTTAGTAAGTCGAAACGCAGAGTGCATGAAGCTCGTTTCAAGATGAGGTTGAACCTTGTGCAGGCTTTCACCTGCAGACGCAGATTTGGTTTACTTCCTGTTGGACAGGCAGGTGACAAACACAGACGGTTAGCTTGTGCTAGCTTGCAGTGTAGGTTCAAGCAGAAAATGTAAACACTACATCCTGCAGTGATTAATAAACCCAGAGCAGCTGACACCAGTGAAATTCTGAGATAAAAATGTGCTTTTTTGGTTTTTGTGATTTTGCCCAACTGGGGGCCCAACAGGTAATTATCACCCTGGTTTCCCTTAGCAACCACTACAATCACATTCACTCTGTAAATAACACAGAAAAAACCACAACGTCATCTCTAGACACACACTGCCCATCACTGCTGTTCAAGTTAGTTTAGTTGTACTCCTTCTCTGACATCCTCCCTGCAGTATTTCACTGAGAGTGTCACCAGGGATTCTTGCTTTCTGTCTCAAACATGGACGGGGTTGTCATGGCAGCGCGGCGACGTGGACGGCTGGTACGATGAAAGTCTGCCTCCAGCAGCACCGGGGACTTTAAACAGAACAGACGTCAGAAGGAACCAGGCTGACAAACTGCACATGACAGCTACGCCTATGTTAGAGATAGTGCCTGTGGGTTTTGCTGTCAGAGACACAAACAGACGTGTTGTTATTTCAGACAAACACAAAGAATATAATGATACTTACTTGCAGCTTCCTTTTTTCAGTCACTGGTCCTGCAGGGAAGACGACACAAGCATGCCATGTTAAACACCTGTAAATGAATGCATCAGTATTCATTAGTTCACAGAACAAACAAAGCTCATTTTGCAAGTGACACTGAATGCAACTGATGGGACAGGAACTGCACCTGAAAATGCACAATAACACACACACCACCATTCCCACAAATACACAAGGAATGTCCAGTTTAAACACTTTAAACAAGAAGGTGCCTTTATAGTCCATCAGGCTTATTTCCATATTTATTCTGTGAATAAACATCAAGGTGTAACCCCTCACATTAGCCCCCCGCCATACCCAGGGTTAAAGTGGCCGAGCCCCAAACTATACCCCAGGGTATGATGAAATGATGTGTGATATATGACAATGTTCAAATATGAATAGATAATATTAATATAAGTCCCAGATACATGATAATGAGGTATTGAGTAACAATTTTCTGCAGAACAGACGGACATAAGAGAGAGCTTATTTCTGACATATTCAGCTGATATTCTGTTTTCTGTTTTCATGATGGTATAAAAATATTTATTGCGATTGTCAAATGTTAAAAAAAAAAAAAACTAACAGGGAAGGGGGTGGGGGGCTACTTTATTGTAGTTGCAGGTCACAGTCGAGTTAACGCCATGTTGTCATTTCATAATAAGTCACACAAATCTCACCAGCTTATGATACTAATCGAGATGACATGTTGGGAGTATTTTATGTGACAAATCTTAAAATAAGTCTGACTCCTCAAGCAGAAGCAGAGAAATGTTGCGACACCGAGCTGGCCTTTCCCCCCGTTTGCTGAAAGAAAAATCTGCTTTTTAACCTTCACACCGGGTTGGACTTCTGATTAAATTGGCCGCATTGCTTGTGAGACCTCACGCCTCTGTTTCCTCTGTGAGCTCGTCCGGCTGGAGGAATGTGCAAACTGTGTGTTTGGTGTCTCGTGTCACAGCACAAAGACCTCTCCGTACGCTGTGGTTTGTGGGAAAACGGCGCCCAGCGATTATGTAACCGGCCCAGGGGCAGGTCGTCATGACAACAAGGCTTACAGTAAAGGCTTCATTGTCCCCGTGGCTCTTACAGGTGTTTGAAAAAAAAAAAAAAAAAAGTGCCAGAGGAGTGTTAGATGACCTGTGACGATGAGGTTTAAGTAGGGGCAACTACTGACACATCCAGGTGGGAAAATCTTTTCTTTGTTTGGGGTTTTTGTTTTTAAGCCCCGCCCGTCTATGTGTTGGCATGGTGAGGGGGGTGTGGGGGAGCAGCGGAGAGAGAGGAAGCTGCACGGCATCACATATCCAAACCAATGAAGCAGACACCACCCCACACTGAGATGCACTTAAAGTCATGACATAATATTGAGCCAAGCTGTCACATGTAGTTTAGCACACGGCCTGAGCCCTGTGATTCTGCTCCCTGCCACAAGAGGGCGACATGACATTTCAAAAAAGCTCCCATACTGCCTTGTGAAAAAAACACAGTTACTATGGTGATGAAGCTGTCTGTGTTGGATCCACAAAGGGGAAGCTTTCATCTCTTTTGCCCTCCGTTAAGAGAGGTCAGGGTCAACAGCAGAGAGAAACAACCTGGCGCAGATATCAAGGGATAAGTCCACACAACCCAGCAGACAGAAGAGAGGAGATAAAGTTTAGATGGAGCACAAATTATCGGAACATTTCATTTCATAGTAATATCCGACACGGGTGTAATAAGCACTTTTACAGCACATTTAATTACTCTGCCCGCAGATTAAACTCTGAAGATCCCTTCGACACTCATCACTCTCTAAGAGAGTTGGTCTTCTGCAGCAAAGAGCAGAGAGTGATAAACACGTTTATATTCATTTTTAATCAATCTTACGTTTATTGCACATTTGCCACCCTATCAAACATCTATGCTGTACTGCACAAAAGGATCTGACCACTAGTCAGCTTAACTAGTAAGAGATGGCAGAATACCGACTTAAAACTGCATGTGCATGCTGTGTGCCGATATGCTAATGTGATATGCATTTCGATGCATGTTGGGTTTTTTGTTATTTTCAGTTTTTCAGGAACAATACATGTAGGTAATGTTACATCTAATTTCAGTGCAACTGATGCAGTGGATGTCAGAATTCTAGCCATAAACGATTATGTCAATTGAACTCAGGAACTCTGTCTTTGTCCAGCATGCTCAGAATCAGGAGCATGCCAAGAATCCCTTTTCTTGGCTGATTGAGGCGTATACATCAGACCGCAATATCTAGGCGTGTTAGTCCGACTCTGAGAAATTAAAACATAAAATCACACACTGGGACATCAACAATGTCAAAGTACAACGGCAGAATGACCGCAGAGATTCCTTATGGGGCTGTGGCTGAATTTCTGTGTTAAAAAAGGTAAGCTTTTAGTGCTTCATTTTTGTCCTTACATCAACCTCCTAACGTTACTGCAATTGCCTTAGATGACCCAAATGTCCCCGTGCCAGGGTTCCTCTGACCCTAAAAGCTTTGAATGAAAAAGTGATCACAGTTTGTTTAAAGGCTTTAGAGAGTCAATGTGAACTAAAAGAAAATAGAAACAGTATGAGCTTAAACAACAGCAGCCCCTCTGCAGTATGAATGCAGGAGCGAGAGAGGGACACACACACACACACACACACACACACACACACACACACACACACACACACACACACACACACACACACCCCTCCTTTTTGCTCTCTGGGGAGAAAGGCTTCCTTGTGGAGGTGAGGCGAGCGCTTGTTGTCGGCTCTCACTCCGGCTTCCTGTTCTATTCTCTCCCAGGAAGTGACACGCAGAGACAGAGGCTCCCACACACACAGATACACACCACTGGCATTGAAGGCAGACCCTGGCTCCCACGGGTGACGGTGATGTCATCCTCCCTGTCGATGCGTCTGTCCGTCCGCGCTGCCTCTGTGCCTGGAAGCAAGAGAGGTAGAAGTGACGTTAAATGATGACGATTGCAAGTTTATATAAGATTTATTTTTTTGTCCCTTGGTTCCAGTTTTGCTGAGTCATGGCACACACAAAAAAAAAATCCAACAGCGCTGATAATTGGGTTCCTTTCATAACGAGCCATTTTTTAGGGTCGAAGACGTGTCCTCTCTGAATCATCGTGTTATCCAAAAGCTTTAGATTTATGGGCATTAAACTGTTAGGGATGGATAAGTGGATGAAGGAGTGGATGGAGGGATGAAAAGGGGAGTGTAGGAGCAGCATTAATCGAATAAATACACAGGATGTTCACGCCATTTAGCGACAACTATGAGTCACACGGTCTGAAGCACCTGTGACAGACTGCATCACCGCACACCTCCAGGTGAGAAATGAATCTGAATGTAGGAGAGAGTGAGTGCGTGTGGGAGGAGAGCTGGACAAATTGGATGTTTTGTTGTCCAAGCATGACGAGTTTCATTGACGGACAAGATGAACGACTTTTTCCCTGCAGTTTTTGAGGCCACATCACCTCAAAGATGTGGTGTTATTGAAAGGTTTGAAAAGATTACAGCTTCATTGTCTGTCCTCTTTAGGAAATGACATGTGGGCAGCATCCTTGACTTGAACTGAAACTAAAAGAAGTCGTGATTTCAACTGAGCGCAGATTTGCGTCATTGGACGTTTGTAGAATTATTCATATTTACACAAAATACACTTTCCTCCGCTTATTCACTCAGGGTCAGAAGCTCAGAAGCTTTTATAATGTTGTTCCACTGCGTTCAAGGTTTACAATGATGAAGGGAACCTGACACGTTTTTATTGTTTCACTGCTTTTGACAGAGCACGAGCAGAGAAGAACAGTGAAAAGTCCAAGTGATGTTCGGCCATATTTTCAAGTCAAAACCAAAAATGTAAAAACCCATGAACAACAAATGCCAATGTTAGTATTTACCCTCATCTTAGGGTGACCATGTTTTCAAACCTCCAAATCTGGACACTTTTAAAAAGAAAAGAAAAGTAGAAAAAACTGCAGTGAGGTCGCAGACGTCTGTGCCGCCAGGAACCGGATGAGGTTCCCACAAGTTTACATGTATCAAGCAACAGATCGGTGACCTGCACTGTTCACACAAGGTGGTAGGGAAAGCTGCCCTCCTGAGCAGCAGTTTAAGTTGGTTGTCATTGCCTCATTGAAGTAAATGGTAACAATGCTACTTCCAGCCCGTACCCACTGTTCGTGTTTGCAAAGTCGCTATTTCCACCGTGGGCAACTGAAAATGGTAACTTGCAGTGTGTGCAAAAAAAGCAGCATATTCATTGCCTAGTACTTTTCAAAGGACACAGTAACGCTCCCGACGCTCTTTGGGAAACTCTGACTTCATTTCCGGCATGACAGCCTGTTGTTACGCAGCAGGTCCTGTCAGTATGATAAGCTAGGCTAGCTAAGCAACAGCCGCAACCCTGAGATTGACTGACACGTGTACAGACAAATCTTGAACTTTGACTAGTCTTGCTTTAGTTATGTTTTCCGATTGATTAACAACAGCAACAGCCTTGACAATGACATTGATTGGCATATAGACAAATCAGTGTTGGAAGCATGGTGTATTGTTTTTGGTGGGATATAACAGGGACTGTTCAAAACTAGGACTTGAAAACGGGATGGTCCGGGTCAAATCAGGAGGTATGGTACCCTACCTCATCCTACCAAACATTTCTGTATGTTAGCACAACTCCACAGGATGGAAAAGGCATAAATTGCTGGTTGCGTTAGCGAGGATAGTTGAATGCTAACCTTAGCATTTGTGGCTTACCTCTTTTAATGGTTTAAAAATGTGTTTTTAATAACTAATTAGAAACCAAGAACTAAGTCACTTCAGCAAACATAAGCATTAAACCAAGTAGTAGTCACATTTGTTAGCCTACAATAGGGTTTGCTTGGGATTTACACTATCCATGATATAACACTGCAGCGTGTTAGCTAGGTTGTTGGTTAGCAAACTGCTGATATAGCTGCTGTCAAGTTAACATGTAGAGACAATGGTTAAAAAAAGGCATTCCGTTTGAAACACTCATATTAAAAGCTAACCAGTTAGCATGAGGCTTTCTAGGCCCAAGATCATAAACCTTAATTTAACACGACTTTTCCCCCCCAAGTGAATTTTTGTTGTTATTTAATTCTGGTATTAGATTTGAGGGGAATCATAAAGACAGTGCTATCAAATGTGTTTAGTAATATTAAACTATTTCTCAAGAACAGGAGGTGCTTGTGTACCTTTCGTCTTTGTCACCAATGAATATCACTTGTTATTGTTTCCTGAAGGAGGTATGGGCTGCAGTTAGCTGGAATGAATCTCTTCAATTGTCCCTCTAAGGGAGAGGAAAGCCTTGGTTGTTTGTACAGTAATAAAAACCATTAATCATCCTCTGCTTTTGTAACTCCTCTGAATGCTCCCAGTGGACTGTTCTGCCTGCAGGCAGCCATGTCAGACAGAGCCAGTACCTCAGGGCCGCTGTCCTGATACGGATTCTTCCTTCCCGTCAAGAAACCTCCCCCCCTGTGAGCAATCATGTTGTTCATATGTATCTGTTCCAGGAAAAATAGAGCCACTTCACACTGGCAGCGGCAAGAGCAGATGTATGATAGACGGCGAATCACAGAGCAGTCACCATCTCGCTGTCCTTATTGATTAACTCATAAAACTACCCTATATCAGTTCCTCAAAGATTATTTTTGTCTCTCGTTTCCTGGAAACGGGGAGTGAAAGTTGGCACAAACTCAACCATTCATCACTGGGAAACCACCAGGTGTAAGACGTGTCAGGTGTCTGCAATGTGGGAGAGAGTGTGTGCATGCTCAGGTTAACACAAGTGTGTGTGTGTGAGGTGCACAATCGTTTATTATCATAGTAGCTCAAATGCCTGTTTTGTTCTTCTAATCAGTGAGCTCCTACTGAATGATAACATCCAGCAGGAATGATGCAGGCTGCAGGACAATGGCAACACTATAAAGTATGAAATCCATTGACTGTATATGAGACGGAGACAGGTATCTTTAACCTGCATTCTTTCTATTGGCCACTTTGGGTCAAATCCACTGATTGTCAATCTGACTGTGCAGAATGAGAAAAAGAGCCTACTTTTCAATTGATTTATAACCAAATAAAACATTTTCCCTCAGAGTGTAAGACCTCAATCTTTAGTTTCATGTCTCCTTCAATATAGCATGATGTTCCTGTTGTTAATTATGATCCCATTGGGAGTAAAATAGACAATAAAGTAAGGAATGCTTTAGGGCATGGCTATCTGTGACAGCCAGTTCCTACCATTACCATCCAAATATGGTCACTTCTGGCTACAATGAAAACATGGAAACAGATTTTAAAAAAAGCCTAACACAAAGCTACAAACCAGTAGGTGAAAAAACCAATGGGCGAATTTGAGGTGGCTATGCACATTTCTTTTTGGAAATAATTGATGCTATAACCAAATTTTTACTAGTTTTTGAACCGTGACTAAAACAAATATTAGCACAGTATTGGAAATGTCCATCCTCAAAGACGACACAAGGAAATAGTCCATTTGTTTTTTTATTCAGATTCCTGTTAGGAAAGCTGTGGCCAAGACTTCCACTTCCCTGTGCTGGTCATCATTAACTAATTATTTACTTATTTAACCTTTATGTCATCAGGAAAATATTCCCATTGAGATACAAGATCTCTTTTTCAACAGAGCCCAGGCCAAGACAGCAGCATGAAAGTTTCACGGAGAGAACAAACGACAAGCAATACGCAATTATTACATCAACAAACAAATCTGAAGCGTTAAGCAGAGAAACATGTGCATACAGCCGTCAAAGGATCCTTTGTCCTGGTTTTAAAATCTTCAAAGCTGACTAAATGCTCGAGTTTTAGGTGACTTCTACAGCTCAGACCAAGATGATGGAGCGAACACACTAAGAGCACTTTCACCAAAGACAGGCCAAGTTGGTGGAATTGGAACAGGTGTTTGTCACCTTACTGTCCAACAGGAAGCAGACCAACTCCATGAGTCTGCAGATAAAAGACAACACAAGGTTCACCCTCGTTTTGGAACGAGCTTTATGCTTCACGTTTTATTTCACTAGGATTTTATTGTCTCTTCTTTGCCGCTAGTCCACGTCCGTCATATTCACCGGTTTGAAATTGTGTCTAACCACTGAATTGTATCCACTCCTAAACTCACCGGTGTTCTGTCAGTGGCTGGAGGAAACACGCCAGCTCTGTCCAGAAGCAATCACGAGTTAACCAAAACAAACCAGACAATGAAAATCCGGTCAGAGGACAGAGTCTCTGCAGACACAGTCACCACCACCACGCATGTATGGAGGCCCAGAAGGCATGATGGAGCAGCTTTACTTTAGGATAAGTCTATATTTAATTTTATATGGAAAAAGCTACTGACTCTACCTTTAAAATCTGTTTGTTGTTCCAAGAGTTGTCTTGCGAATGCTAATTAAGTCATTATAGAGCTCCCATTGGGACAATTAGCGAAGCAAAAGTATCTCAAACGTGATGCATCAACACTGTAAAGCCTTTTGAAATGAGACTATCATAAAAGGCATCATGCTCTGATTGTTTTTTTTGCAATATTCTCTTAAGTCTTATCCACATTAAAACATTAAAAGGCATCATAAAAAACAATCCTCAGCCTTCTAGCAGATGAAACGATTTGTCAGTGGATATATTTCCTCTTGGACCCACTTTGTCATCCCATAAATTATTCGGCTATACAACCCTTTATTACTGTTAACCAACGTCTGGATTTATAGATAAATGTCAGAGCACCGCTGTTCATCGCTCATCTGTGACATAACCATAAATAAAGCATCTCATTCTGAAGTGGTGTGTACAGCCTCGGGGTCCATGTGTGTGTTAATGTGCGTCAGCGGTGCAGTTCAGACAAAGGTCGTGTTGAGCGAAAGCCCAGAGGGAGGCGACCACGAA